AATTTCATAAACTACAAGCAACCCTCTTCAGAAATCACTTATTTCCGGTAAATGACACGTCCAACTTCCCTCTAAATTTACATTACGAACCCAATACACAATAGGATGAAAAATATCACGTCGGAAAAGAGAAAAACCATTTTCCTACAGTATCAATTAAACATTATTTAGCAAGCGTTGTGTACTAACATGCATGCAACGTTCTTATCAAACAGTTGTTATGACCAAGTATTGCCTGTGCCACATATTCTGTGTTGATGGCGATGACAAGTTTAACACACAAGTTTCACAGCAACTTTTGGAGCATATTTACCCAACCCCAAGGAAAAATCTCAAAGCACGATGTGGACAGCATTTACGGCATTTTAACTTAAACCTGACCACACCATCGTATCATATAACTTTGTATAAGTTGTGGATTCCATTCCTCCAAGTGCTTTATATCTACAAATAGCATTTACACAGGAGCATTTACCTGATTGTTGTGAAAACATTGCCTAATTAGGATTAACAGATATAAGCATTGATATCATTCTCCATGTACATGTATACTCAATTAGTTGGGGTGAAACAACTCTAAATTAGGGGTGACCTAGTTTGGAATTGGGATGAAACGACTTGGGGTGAAACGACCCAGAACCGATGGTTGCTATATGAGTCTGACAGTATTGACAGTCTGCAGTGTGTGTTAACTGTATGTAACACGAGCCTATTGTGTCCTTTCAGTGAACACTGATTGATCAATCAGCTATTTTGTTGGACAAATTAAAACCTTTCAGAAATTTACTTTAACATCACAGGTATTGTGACCATATGTTTAAATATACGCTTAGAAATTATGGGGGTGGGGTGGGGGGGTACATGACATGCAGGGGGACTCAGTAATTATTATTTTGTACATAAATTTTAGGGGGGTCATTGACATTGTACATACTTCTCCATAAAAATCATCATCAACCCCCCTAGCCATAAATTATGAACGGTCCCTAATAGCAATTAATTGATGGTAGAAACGAAAAACTATCGATAGTATGTGTGACTATCAATAGTTTCGTAATTGACTTTTGTTGATAAATGCACAGCACAAAATACAGGAAGTACCAGATTTGTTCACTTTGAGTTTTTGAATGTTGGGGTGCAGACTTGCAGCTTCATTGAGTTTATGTTTTAACTTTTTACTCTATCTTGTTCAAGTTTCTTGCCAGTTATTTAAAAAAGACTGAAACTCCTTCAATTTGTTTTATTTCATACAAACTACACATTCATTTGGGAAATGACTTCAAATGAAACAATTAAAGGAGAAAGAAACTATTGCAGTAGTGTTGCAATAGTTGGTTGCAATAGACTATCACTATCGCAATAGTTGTTTCCCCCTCAATAGCCACCCCTAAGAGATATGTACCACATTGTAATGTTTTTATCAAGAATTCATGTTGTTTTGACCATCAGATATACATCTAAAATGAGAACACTTTAGGCATGTAAGTAGAATTACTTGAACAATTTTGGCTGATCATGATGTTATGAAATTGTTTTATGAAACAAGTGTTAATGGACTGTAAGGTTTGAAAATGAAACAGAGATAAACATTCATCTATCACAACTTGTCTGACAGAAAACAAATGCCACATTCTAAAGCTTTGAGCTTGTCATATGTCAGACACATTAGAAGAGCTTCAGGTTTACTGCAAGTGAATTAACAACACAACATGCCCACAGAAATCAAGTAAATACAATGTGACAGGTTGACAGGACAGATCTTTTGAAAATTACAATTCGAAAGTCTGAGACTACCTAATTCAATGTGAATGTGTCAAGAAAATTGTTAAGCAGTGAACAAAAAAACCCAAATAAATAAAGGGATGTCAGATGAAAACTAGTGGGCAGAGTTACCTCCTATGTACTGTACAACTGTGGCATACACACTGCTTATAGGGTTGACACAGTTATCTTCCTTGAAAAAGCTGTCAGAGAGGGTACAGTGTTTCATTTGATTGTGAAGGGATATACGTACATGTGGATGTCCATAAGTTACCTGAAAAAATTCTTCAAAAAACATATAGAAGATTGAAGATGTTGAAGTAATCCAACATTGAAATAGTGTGTGATTAAACAGGTTTAAACCTAAACTTAACATTGCTGTATCAACCAATATTTCAGTCATAGAGGAGCTTTGGTGAGAGAAGAAAGGTTTTGAATGTGTTAAAAAGGTTTGACAGAATGTCAACAATGCCAAGCAACTACAGACATTTTCCAGTGTTATCCTTAGAAGGTTCACCTTTTTCAGGCAGTTCTACTGGCTTCTGTGTCCATAATATCTGAAGAACTGCATTCAAAATGTTCAAAGTCTGACATTTTCATGTTTGAATGAACATATTGGACACATTGACATGATCTCTGGTTGCAATAACACTAACATCAAATTCATTGTCTGTTTCATGAGTTGCAGATGAAGTTCTGGTGATATGGTGTGTTATCTGGCTATCGACATATTGTCTGATCTGCCCTCTTGTTCACAGACTTTCAGAACTTGTTTGTAAAAACTTACCTTTTACTGTTTACTTGAGGCATAAAAAAGGACCACGAAGTTCACCGTCAAGTTCCTTGTAATTGCACTGTCAAGACATAACTTGTGATTCGCTAAATTGGACTGCTGTCATCCAAGGAGATTCAATCTCTCTGGAAGTATTAGTTTTCCGAGAATGTCGTCCATGGGGAGAGTAGGGGGTCAGGCTATCAGGAATAGAACATGGCTCTGGGTGTGGAGAACACTGTGATAGTTGAGCTTCAACATTCATTCTAGCTGCTGCCTTATGTACCTCTTGAAGTCCAACTGTGGTACCATAGCTTTACAGCATTGTTTTATCTTAGGAAATAAAAGGTTCAGAGGGAAGTAAATCTTCATAGTTTATGAAACTATTTTCTGAAAATAAGTAAACATATCAAAGTTTCAATGGCAATCTCCTACTATTATTGACATTAAATGATGCATAAACTTTGCCTGAAGTACTTAAGTTCATCATTTTTCAGAATGAGAGGTGCCAGGAAAAAACAGTTTCATTTTGAGTTCATTATAGCAGTAATTGACTGTACATTGAAAATAGTATGTTGACAAATTTTGAAAGTTCTTGCAAATATACTACCTGTATTACATCAATGCCGAGTTCCTGCTATTTTGCTTGTCAGTATGAGATCAACTATCCATAATTTGTTTAGCAAGTAATAATAGCTTGATTCTTTTGTCCTCTGTTCTTGAAGTTAAGGGATTCAATGCCAATTTGTGATTGAGCCCCTCCAAAGTGGTCATGTTCGGCTACGTTGAAGTCATTAATCTTCTTGCCACATTCAGGCATGACGATCTGTAAAGTCTGGGCAATTTTTCTGAGGGTAGTCACAAAGAGATGATATCTTGTCGCTGTGTAGTGGGACACCGTCAACACCTGCATCACATGGTAGCAGATCCATATATCTGTTATTAATGCATGCTTTCATCACAGTGTGGCTAACTCTAAAGGAGTTTGCAACCTGACATCCGCACACAAGTTTTCCAGCACCTCATGCAAATCAATTCATAGTGCATCGGATATTTCAGGCATTAATTGTTGGATGTGTTTTATGTCATCAAAACTTAATCTGGAGCAAACTTAGGGTGGTATATGTTTTCGAAAGTGCGGTAAAGTGAGTGAAGGAAAGTGGAACTATAAATGACGTCACAAGAAACGGAAGCAATGTCAGCAGAACCAAATGTAGTGATACTCACGAGTCACTTGAGATTGACAAACAAGGTTCAGAATGACCTCAGAACAATTTATTTCTGTTTGGACTTTACATGTCCACTTTTCTGTTTTGAATTAGCCCCAAAGAACAGGGTTTGATATGTTTTAAGGGCAAATCAGTATCTCAATAGTTGAACTGAAACTGAACATTTGTCTGCAGGTGTGAAAAAGTTTTTTCATATAGACTCCAAAGTCTACCAACTATGTTATAGGTCACTAGATGTCAGAATACACCAATCCCTCACATTAAGATTTGATGTGATACAGGTACTCCAAATAGTTATCAGTGTTAACATCTCAAAGCATACTGCCACTGTACATTTGAAGTAATCCTTCACACTTCCTGAATAATCTCAATCTAGAATATATATTTTGGAAAGAAGTGAGGGTTATTCACCTTGAGGTATGTGTCAGGCACCTAATCGCTAGCACACAAAGCCAGCCATCTAACCCACTCAGGCACTGAGGCTTCCACTATGGAATCGGACAAACGGTAGTCTGGACCATGGACTTTGTGTACCCCTCTGACAAGTGTAAATTGGCACAGCTCCCACAGCCAAAAGCTATGAATACACAATGCCATTTAGGAAGTGGTCTCATGTAACTGCATGTAAATAACATAAAAGTTTAATCCCATATATAACATGGGTTACATGGCTAGAGAAGCAAAATACTTTGTCCAGCAAACCTGATCATAGATAGTTGACTTTTGTTGAAATTCTGAAGATTTTTGCTGGGATGACAAAACCAGATATTAGGAACTTTGCATTTATGTGATATAGGTGATATTAGTTGAACTATTACCAACACAATTATGATCAATTTAATGTACTTGTTTCCACCAATTTATAAAGAGGTGCAAATCCCATTGTTCAGTATAGCTCTGATGCAGGCATATTGTGAAAAAAAACAGTTTAGGGCCTTTAAGAGAGGCATCAGAAAGGAGCAGAAGTCATTCAGGTTTTGTTTCAGGACAATACTGAGGTTTGAGCTTCACCACTGGCTGTACGGATATCATTGGTATTGTCTGTAAACATCTCAGAAGTCACTCGACTAATGTTTCACATGGTTGTTCCACCTGATTAGACTCCTGATTAAAGTTTTAGTGGTGTTAGAATTTACAGTCTTTATGACAGTGTGATGTTTTTCTTTTACAGTCAAGAAGCTGATTGAGAGTCTTTGAAATAATGGTGTCTTTGACGTTATGCCCTTGTTCCATTACAGTCTGGCAGTAGACAATCAGCTGGTAGTAGGCATACCACAGGAATGGGAATATGTGTGAGCACAATGGCAAACACAGATGAACAACTGGCTGATCAAGACAAGACAGTGTTTGACTGGTGTAAAGAAGGAAATACAGAAAAGGTGTGCCTTACCTTTGCCACCTATGATACTGGCGTGAACAAACTGGATCCTGAGGTAAAACAATGACCTGAGCAAGCTATCATGTCTCTTTACAGAGTTATTGACCTGGATGTTATCGCAACATATTTTACCAACCACAACCTTACAGTATGTGTCAAACATAACTGATATCACTCCTACAGAACCTGGAAGTCAGTTTGACTTCTCAGTGTTCACTGTTGGTCAGGCTCTCTTGTCATGACCTGGGCATGAATTAACTGGTGTGGACAATATATTAATCTTGTCATGACCTGGGCATGGATTAACTGGTGTGGACAATATATTAATCTTGTCATGACCTGGGCATGGATTAACTGGTGTGGACAATATATTAATCTTTTAATTAGACAACACTAAATATGCACGATCTGTTGGCTTGGCTCTTACACTTTGAGAGGAACTGTAAGCATCAAGGTTTACACAACTGATATTTCTTAAACATAGTGCATGCTTCAGGAATATCATCTTGTTGTTCATGAGTTGAAGAACCGAAAATTTCCTGGGAGAGTTTATTGAAATCTAAACCGTCATTTTCAACACACAGTCTATAAAGTTTGAAATTTTGAGGCTTGCTAAGAAGTTATAATCTTTTATTGATGAGAAACAGGTGAGAAACACACCTCATATGTCAACATATGATGTAGCAAGTGCAGGACATGGTTGTGCTGTTCCTCCGTTGAACACTTCAACTTGTACACAAAACAACAGGATAGTTCCTTCCTTAGATAACTTTTTCTAGTGATTGGTATCATAGTAACATCAGCAGATGTTGTTGGGTAGAGGGTATTCGTTGCTGTGCACCATGTTGACAATTAATAGACTATTCCTAATTTAGGGTTATTTTGCCAGTCATCGTTCTCATTTGGAGATAGCCTGTAGTTACACTTAATTATTGGTTTTGAATAGTGAGATTGTGATTTCAGGGTCTGGCATTGCTGCACTGGGCTAGTGACAGGGGGTACAAAGACATGGTGGAGCTACTTCTGGTACACAAGGCTGATGTCAATGTCAAGGTCAGTAAGTCAACATTGCAGTCAGGGTAGGCTTTATTTGCCTGACAGAGAGAAACCAGTCACTATGACAACAGTTGGATCTCCCAACAATAGAGACTGCATATATAGTTTGGTCAGGTGTTTAATGAAAACGTCTTTCTCTGAACATTAGGTTGTTGTGGTCTTCAGTACAATTATCTACTTCAACTGAATTCCTGTTGTGTAAGATATTCCCACAGCATGTTCTTCATGCCTGTGCTTAGCTCCTAAATGATAAAATCAAGGACATCCTGGCTGTTTTCAAACAGCCATCAGCCTGGGGTCTTGCACTGAGACCACCTGGTCCCGGAATCACGAACTGTGAGCATTTCATCTGTGCCACACCGGCCAATAATAAATCATCATGGTTACTTGGTTGTTGTTGGACACCAGTACGCAAACATTTTGTGTTTGTTTCTGCAGCAAAACAAGAACCTTCTGATATCTTGCAATATAGTCCTTATCTTTCATTGAGTTAAAATTGTCCTGGATGTCTCTTTCACTCGGTGGTAACTGTGTATGTGTGAAATGTCCAAAACTACAAGATTGTAGAGCAAGCAGTTACAGTTGTGCACCATTTCAAGATGGAAAATGATAGAGGGGATTGAGAACATATAATTGCATTTAATTTCACATTATGAGTAAAAACTTAAAGTCACAATACTGGTAGTATTTCAGCCACATTCGCCATTATGAGTCCCAGTTATTGTAGTTGTTGTTCATGGATTAACTATCAGTAATGTTTGCTTTCAGTTAATGATAAAGTCTTCAGCTTCCCACTACTTTGGTTGGTTCTCAGTGTTAACTGAATGTTTTGTGATCTCAACAAAGCAGTCCCCTCAATTCTGTAGGTTAATAAGAAAACAGCATGATGTCAACATCAACAATATCTCATAAACAACCTAATGTTACACCAGTAGCAGTGTAGACAGGTCAAGATGCAAAGTGTTGATTCCAACTCTGACAGTGATTGCTGTGATCAGAAGAAAGATGTGGGGCTCATGTTCACTTGTTAAAGGGAAATGATAGAATGATCCCCTTGGTAAAACTTGGAAACAATTTGGAAAAAGTGTGAAGATCTATGATTCTTTTGGCAAGGCGTGAAATGTAATTGTATCACCTTCATCGTCACTGTCACTCAGACAGGGGATACCAAGCGTTTGGCTTAAATCTAGTGTGAATTTACCAAAGCTGTGGATTGTAAAATCTTTTCAATATCTAGTCAAATTGAAATTGGAAATAGGTTAGTCATCTCTATGTGGAAGATACGAGAAAACCTCTGCAAAAATATAAGCATTCTCATATCGATCATTCTGAGAACTCATTTAGGAAAAAAACAAAAGGTTTAATGTCAAAGTTGATAATGTCACCTGAAGAGAATTTGCTGTCTGATGACAATAAGATGTAATGACTTGATTACATATATATATGGCCTCAATTTCTATTAAGTACACTTTTTATTCTTTATAAGAAAATGAGAAACAAAATGATCCTTAAAAATATGTGAGAAATGATTTCTATTCTTTAGCCACACTTCATTTAGACACGTAGTATCATTTTGTGAGAGATGTGTAATCTGATCCAAAGTCAACATTCGGTGCAATCTTGGTAGTAGTAGCAAATATTCATAATGACTGTTCAGTACAAACAGTAACAAGAATAGAGGAACAGTGTATTTCTGTGTCAAATGTCATTCTTCTGGCAAAATTACCATTGGGAAATCGAAATATTTATGCATGTCTCCATGAAAGATGAACATGGCAAGACATTCTTCAGTTGGATTGACCAGCTGTGAAGGATCTGACCTGGTGGTTTCCAGCAGTCTGCTCCTGGAATGTGTGGTTGTCCAACCCGACAAAGTGGACACACAACTGATAGGAGATGCAGCCCCTGAATCCTGGGGCACTGCATATCAACGACTACAAGCTCCAGACCTTGGTCAAGTCTGCTTCATCAATAGCAGGTCGCAGAACATATGTAATGCCAGATTAGAGATTTGAATCTTAGGCAGAAGATAACTGAGTTACCAACAAAAGACTTGAGACTAAGGTCGTAACTCTGCTTGACCTATGTTTAATGACCAGGGGCTCCTTTCACGAAGCAACCTTTACTAAGGTTAACCTTAATTCCCATTCTTTAACATTGCACTAAGGTTACCTAAGTGACTTACAATCACCGTAGTGCTTTGTGAAAGGAGGCCCAGGTTTAGATTGTGTACAAAATGCAGTGCATCATGAACCAGAGTCACAAACTGGTATACCAGTTGAGTTTACGACTAGTCGGTAAGAGTTTTATAGTGATGGTTCCCTAAGGGCAGCATTTTTAGTTTTTATGTTTCTCATCGCCCGACCGACCCTTCTAAAACATTTTTTTTTCCATCCAGCACCGCCGACTCAAACCTAAAATGTACCGCCCAATCATATAAAATGTTTATCTTCCAATCAGTCGCTGCCACAAGTCCAAAGAACACGAGATATTGTAATAAGAATTACAATAAATGAGAATCAAGAACATTATTCAGATAATTTTGTCTTTATTAAGTTGTTTTGTTTTGTTTGTTTTTTCCCCGACCAACCCATGTTTAGAATTTGGTGGCTACGTGAAACACATAAAAAAAGTATGCCCTAACTGTGATACTGTTGGGGATAAAGAACGAATCAGATAGCTTGGGCTGTGAAGCTTGAATACTATGATCACAACAAAAGTACACAGAACTTTGATATAGAGGTCCAATCAGAAACAGGGTCAGTATAACAGGGTACAACTAGCTGTCAAGACATATCAAGCAAAGCCCATAAATTCATGAATTTGCTGGTTGAGATATTTCTCACATTAGTGGTTCCTTGAAATTTTGACAGGTGCTTACAGTGTTTAGGTTTGTCGTTGATGTTCAATAATTGCAGTATGATAGTTTCTTGTAGTTGAATAGTTTAAACTAGTTTACTCTAGGTATTAAAGTAATGAATTCACTTTGTTGTGACATTGATTTATTTAGCCTGTAGTCATACAAACTTAATGAAGCTTCGTAAAATATCTCATTACCAGAAGTTGGAATACCCAACATCCAGTAATGCATCTTTGTTTTGAGTGATTTTTGCCAGTTTAGGTAATACGTTTGAGTACTGTTTGTTTAAATTGTGTAGCCAATGGTTTCTGGTGATTGTTTGGGTTTATTATGTATGGGGGACCTATGTGTATGTTGATCATGTATTGCATGTGAAACAAGGTATAGGCATTAAAGTTGTAATGACTTGAGTTTGTTGTGTTGATGTACTGAAACTGTAATACATGACATTTCTGGAAGCCATGCCTGCTGTTGCTGATAGGAGTTAAACTCTGGTCACAACAGCTCTGATGTATGTATGTATAAATCACTGCATTGGCTATATTCGGTTTGCTGGTTCCAAATACTGGCACTTTCAGGTTGTACATTCTATTTTCAGGACCAGGACGGCCAGACTCCGCTGCATTATGGTAAGTATTTCAAGGTATTTGTATTGTGTTTGTGATGAAAAGTTGGATGTCAAGTAGTGTCTGTAGACATACACAACTTTGGACCAGGTGTCAATATTGAGCATATAGGTAGGTATAGGCAAGTATGTTTTGCATTTACTTGTATACTGTGTATCTTTATTGTCTGGACATGGCTGAAAAAAGACATCATCGGTCACATAGCTCTACAATACTTTTGTGCGAATTAATATCATCTTTCCTCTAAGTTCACAGAATATGGGTGAAAGTCAAAACAGAAATTGGTGGGATTGGTGTTTTCAAAATTTTGTTTACCGGTAGGTTTAGTTGAGGAAAAAACTTTAGAATTTTAAGAGTGATATCTGATGTCATGAGTTGAATTGAGCAACTCTGGTGTTGGACAAGTCTTAACCACACAGAGGATTTTTTATTTTTTATTTAAAAAGAACAACAATAAAAAACACAGCATCGTGTTGCATTTATCACATACTAATTGTCGACAAACACAGATTATTGTACCAATGCTAAACATTCAGCATACACTACATCAGTTTGCTTGCTCAACCATGTGGTTTGTGATGTCATATGCCCTCAGCTACTTCCACAGTTGTCAACTATCCAGATGGTGATGACCTTAGGGACCGTTCATAATTTATGGCTAGGGGGGGTTATGATGATTTTTGTGGAGAAGCATGTACAATGTGAATGACCCCCACTAAAATGTATGTACAAAATAAGTGACCCCCCTGCATGTCATGTACAAAATCAATGACCCCCCTGCATGTCATGTACAAAATCAATGACCCCCCTCCCCTTCCCATAATTTCTAAGCATAATTATGTACAAATTTTTGGGTAACAATGAATAATTTAATGAACATTTATTTTCTCTGCACATCGATAGGTGTCGCTGTTTTAGTGATAATATATGTCAAAGCAGTACTTTGAGCTTGCGATAGGACAGTTCAATGTTCAAACAGTAATTGTCACATCTAAATGTAACATTCAATTTGAAAATTAGATTTAAAGATGTGGTGAATTTACTCAGATATATGGAACATGTTATCTAAAAAAATTACCAGACCATCATACCAGTCTTGGGCGGTCGGACGGGCCTTATTTCATACACTGCTGAAACATTACAAATAGAGGGATGCTTACAGCTGACAGTCACATACCATACTGGTGTAATCACAAACTAATTTGGAAGTAGATATAATTTATTAGCTAACCCTCCTTGTTTACAATGATTCATGCATGCAATCACTCCCAAGCTCATTCTCACAATCACCCATCATGCAATCTCTCTCAGATTATTCACCCAATCACTCACATAATGCCCCACCATTCACATGCACTCACAATATCATAACGTTACAAATATTTTCAAAACACACAAAATAGTTCGTACAATTATGTTCAAAATCAAACTCAACAAATCAGTGATGTAGTATCATATGCAAGCGATTTCAACCAAGGGGATAACCAAGGATATCTCATTCCTGGAGAAGAACTGCCTAATGGCAAACTTTCCCTGTCAGGGTCTGAATGGATTCATGTGTTCAGGTAACCTCACTTTACGATGAAAACACAACATCTTTATCCCCAACAGGTTCTGATTTTGTTTCTTGATTGATATCTGCCCTTTACTCTTCAAATTGTTTATTTATTTTAATAATTATACTCATAATGACCCGTGAAGATCTGGCTTGTCATAAGAGACAACTAACAGGATCGGGAGGTCATGCTCGCTGACTTGGTTGACATGTGTCATTGCATGGCAGTTGTGTAGATTGATCCTCATGCTCTTGATCACTGGATTATCTGGTCCAGACATGATTATTTACAGCTGCATATAGCTGGAATATTGGTGAGTTTGATGTTTAACAACAAACAAACAAATATACTCACAAGAACTTTGCTTCTATGTTGAATGGTGAACTACAGTGCTATGGCTTTATATTTGATAGATAAAGAGAGACAATCACTATACTGGTTTGTCCCTCTGACTGTGACAATACATGCTGTTTTTACTTTGATGTTTCAGCCGTGAGCTGTGAACATGTTGATGTGACATCGCTGTTGTTGTCACATGGTGCTGACGTTAACATTAGAGACAATGATGGTGTTCTTCCAATTGACTGTGCCACGGAAAACCTCAAGTCAATGCTTCTTCAGCCTGATACAACAACATAGTAAAAATACAATCATCAGCTACCAATTCACAGGTCATTGACACCAATGGAGAGCATCAGACTTGTACCAGCAATCAGGGTTCCACGCCCAGTAGAAGCCCATGCAGACTGTCAAGGTCAACCAGCAAGTGTGTGTTACTGGATGTTGCAACATTGTGGGTGATCAAGGATAACTTAGTGTCCAATTCATGGGACAGTTGATGCAACTACTGATTACAACTATTGCAAATATTTTAATATTAATTCATATGATTCATATGACTTCATTGAGCATGAACAGCCAATGTTTCATGTCATTTGTGTGCTTTTCCTATTTTGTCTCCTCCCTTTCACTGAAGCAGTTGGTATTTAACATCAAATGAATGCTGTTTGTATAGAGATATGATTGTTCAAATCATTAAATAGCCAAACAAAATCAATAAAGCACTTTCTGTGAAAGAAGTGGTGGCTGAGTTGGTTAAATGGCTGACTTTGTGAACTGGCAATTAGTGCCTGATTCTGAGGGTGTGGGTTTGAATCCTGGATGGGTCTAAACCCAACAAAAGTACTAGAATCTGCACTTTACTGAGAAAGTGTAATCCCAAATATAACATATGTCACACTTTCTTAAATCTGGACAGTTTTGATAAATTTGGTTTACCTAACTGATTCTGTAAAACATGTTAAATGAACATAAAATAACATGTTTTCATTATGCATGTGATTAATAGTCAAACTGCACTGTGCTCTAACACAATACATTTTCAAATATGTAATGCCTTTTATATATGCATTCATCAGTTGTAGTTGATGTGGACCAACTGTGTAACCTAAGAACACAATATTTGCCTGAGTCAGGTTACACATGCCCAAAAAAATCAAATGCTTACCAGGGCATCTGACTAACTCAAAGGGACAGAACTCTAAAGATTCTTGAACTGACTCCCCAACTGCAAACATCAAGTGTATGCCATCATCCCACTGCTTCTTACTTTCAAAGCACTGAGCCCTCCTGAGATGTTTTGAAGCCTGACGAAATGTCTCCAGGGCACACTGTGGTTCAGTGTGATAAGCACTACACCTGACATGTTCAATGCCAACCTCGTACATGACCTACTAAAACAACCCAGACATGACATTCGCCAGAATATGCCTGAAATATATATCCGCCTGAGGAGATTCAGTGCTTCTGATGTGCAAGTCAACTCTTGGACAGGGAGAGTATTCTCCGAGTGAAAGTAACCAACATGGAGAGATGCACAAGTATCCAATAACAAGTAACAAGAAAACAATATCCTCTAATGCAACATCGTATGAGTTAGCAGAAATGGCCACGGGGTGAGGAGGGTTTGTTTTTGGCCTTGTGTATAGGACACTTTGAAATCGAATGGCCAGTCTTGGGACAACATTTCCATTTCGTTTGAATACATGATTATGAAAAAACAAAGTTGATGAAACTGTAGTTTTAGTAACAAACGAAGAAGCTGACATTTTCATTTCAACGGATACCTGGCTATATAATTCTTGAGATGAATTCACTGTATCAGTCCTATTGCCTCCTTGTTACAGCTTTAAGCAACGCACATGTCAGTCAACGTGGTGGTGAACGACATTTAGACTACCTGAGCATCGTGGTTCCAACATGTTCACATCAAGCAGCACAATCCTATGAGTCTATTGAACATCTTCTGACACATAGTAAATACACGCATTTATCGCCCTCCATCCTCAGCAAAGGAAAGATCACCAACAAGATCAATTATATACTGTTTCCCATTCTTGTCAGATGGGTTGGTATCCTGAACCAATATGAGAACCACGTCATAATACGTCTGATCAGAGACTTCCACGCGCATCAAAAAGTCTGAACGTAAGCACAAAGGATCGCATAATGTATTTGTCTAATATCAAATAATATAGTTATCCTCGACTTTGATCGTCCATGGCAGTTGGTTTCAGTGTGAATGGCTAGATGTGGGTGACAAACCTGCAGGACCTCCAGTGTAAGTAAGTGCTTTGAGGATGCAAATGTCATATATTCAAACCTGTTGAAAACGCTATCAACGAACAGCATGCTAGTGCTGAGAGTCAGTTATCTGTTATTATAGATTACACTCGTGCAATGCTGTACATTTGAATCGAAGGACATCGACGCAAAAGTATTGCCCAAATATTTGGCTAACTGTCTTCCTGTATACTGTGCAAAACTGAAAACTTGACACTCGCCATTCTTTCGACTATTATTGGAGAAACATTATACGTATTGAGGACGTCAGTAAGGGTACCAGTCGAATCGCCCGAGCTACAAAATACCCCAGCAAATTTGGTAATAATTGACATTACAGTGTTTTCTATACAGGAATATTCCTTTTGCTCTTATGAGTTTACTAATTGAACATTTATCAGAAATATTACTCGCTAATATATATGAATATATATATCAATAATAAGAATATATCAAAGTTGACAAAAATTGTGCATTTATGGCATATATTTAATGAGTTTGAATAAATTGGGACATTTTGACTACCCACCCTGGATTAGATTTGTCGACATTGTCCCATGGTTTTCTCGCCGGTCTCATTTCAGCATTATGACCTATCAACTCAATGCCCAATATTGACTAAAAACGTTTTGTAGTTACAATAATGGTCCGTGATTTTAACACTTGCAAAGTCTTAACTTGCTATTGGTTGTCATCTACTGGTAATGAATAAGCATATGCAAAAGTGCGGAAATTCTCATCTTCGAGCAGACGTTGGTTTCGTGGACGGTGGCGCCGACACTGCCCGTGAGTGCTATTGCGCGCCTTGATCATTTGGGTATGGGTCTTGTTGAAGGACCAAATCAAATCCTGACAATACGGAATGGATATCACGAGTGAAAATGGCACAATTCGAAGGCACATCGCATCGGAAGTAAGTCTGACAAATGCATAAAGCGCGCCCGGCCGTCTGATTAGCTCAAATTGACGCATGCGCCATGTTTGATTGACAGTCTGGATCGGTCTATCTCGCATGTTTTGTGCTCAAGACAATGTAGGGGATGGTTCGATGTTGTCTTAAAAATAATTGTAAGGAATGCTTGTCAACCTGGTGATCTTTGTAGTCATAACTCTGGGGGACGTCTTTGTCCTCTTCCGGCATCAGGTTGTCTCCTAGGCAGTCTTGTGAGTCCGGAAGTAATTGTGAGTCCACAGGTCTTCTTTGCAGTCCTGGGATTCCTTAGGTCTTCTTGTCAGTCCTGTGAGTCCGGAGGACGTCTTGGCAGTCCTGGGATTCCTTAGGTCTTCTTGTCAGTCCTGCGAGTCCGGAGGTCTTCTTGTCAGTCCTGTGAGTCCACAGGTCTTCTTGGCAGTCCTGGGATTCCTTAGGTCTTCTTGTCAGCCCTTTGAGTCCACAGGTTTTCTTGTCAGTCCTGTGAGTCCGGAGGTCTTCTTGGCAGTCCTGTGAGTCCGGAGGTCTTCTTCGGGCAGTTCTTTGTCTCCTGGTAGGCATACTGTCAATTACGCCACCAGGTGATGACTGCGTCCTGGGTGAAAGTAAAGAATAGTAAGCATACTCTAAGTCGTTAAAAACAAATGTGACATATGAAAATGAATTCCAATTCTTCACCACCTTAAGTCAGCCTGCACACTGCTCCCTCAAGCCGCCAGCCGATACTTTCTCTGTCTGGGAACTACCTACTAAAGGACTTATTAGGTAAACCCTAAGTTATGCCATCTATATAACAGCATTATGAATGGTCCCTATAGATCCTACCCACTGCTGGGGAATGCTGAGAAAGACGGATCGAGCCAGCGAGTGCAGCAGCCATAACCAGCTCGGCTGTTGCATCAACAGCCATCCTGACGGGACAGTTGGACCCCTCTCATTGGAACCTTCCCCGGGCCACAGCCGGCGGAGACCTAAGTTTGAGCCGAGAGACTTTGGGCCAGACACCATTAGACAACAAATCCGTCGGAAAAGCAGTGCACTTTGTTAAATGCTCATCTCAAACTTATTTCCCTCTATTTTTCTTCTCTAATGTAAAACTTGGGTAAGGAAGGCGTGCAAAAGATTTGTATAGGACTCGCCGCACGTTTACGCTGAAGATGCTGGAGAAGACAAAGAGCAAACCTCACATAACATATTCCCAGTCCCCGAGCCCGAACCCGAAACATAGGCAACAAAAATAGCTGAAACCAACACAGCAACAAAGACTTGCACAAAGACAGTTTCAAACAAAAAGTTTTTAAAACATGTGCCAAGAAAAATATTTATAAATAGACTGCCTTTATAACAATATCGTGTTTATATATGAAAAATCAGAAATTTGTACACCCAATATATTTGATTGCAGAAAACATACAGCTGATAAGATACAGATGTCATGCTTTCCCAATTTACAGTTACAAGTTCAACCGATGGTGACATGTTTTGCTGGGTGGATTCAATAAAAAAAAAGAACCCAAAACAAACACAATTTCATTCAACTTTCATCCGTGGTTGGGATATTATAATTTTGAATATGCCCATTAGCGCTCGCCGCACAGTGAATGTATTCAGACTGATGAATGGATTGTATCTGATGCCGCTATCCAAATATATATATATATATATATATATATATACATATCCAAAAAAAGAAAGACGTTTTGTATTTTTGTATTTTTAAAAATCTATTAATTACCTATTGTGGTCAAACAATCGTCCAAATGTGTAACAAAAGTGTTGACAACATGATTTTACATAATTGCACAAGACAAAAATCGACTTTACCTGAAAATGATGATTTTGATGAGATTTCTTACAAGGATTAAAACGGCATCACCACAGCGCAACAGAAATCACCTTCCAGTTGGAATTGTGCAGAAAAAAGCATGCACTGTCTGGCTATAAAAATCCAGATTACTTTCGGAAATCGGCATTCGTTTTGAAGGAGTTTCAAGGTCAAATCACTACGCCACTTATTGACGCTGCTACACCAAACATCGCGATTGAAAGAATGCACGCTGGAGATTACCAATCTTCTGTTGCCAGGCGTCTGAATGTTAGCCTGAACACGATATCACGGCTTGCAGCTCGTTACAACCAAACAGGCATAACAAATGACCGTCCCCGTACAGGCAGACCTCGAGTCATCACTGTAGTCCAAGATCGGTACATTCGGGTACTACATTTGCGTGATCGTACTGCCATGGGTGAGAGCACAGCAGCCAAGGTGCCTGGCCTTCGAAGGATGTCCGGTCAAACTGTACGGAACAGGTAGAGAGAGATTGTATTAACACGGAAAAACTGGACAAAGGTTTACCAATATTTTGTAACGGTATATGTTATTGAAAACTGGGAATATTACAGACTAACTGACCACGTTCCTCAATCTTAAGCCTGCCAATGGGTCACACTGATAACGAACATCGGACTTAATCCGGGACCTGTATCTCTAAAGCTAATAGAACCAAGGTGCAATACGTTTATCTGTCTTTACGGCTGTTTGTATTCACGCTGGTCAAATCCGTGCGTGTCACATATACCTTCGTGGCATACTCTCGACTGGCCATCGATGCTTTGGTCAAACTAAATGACATAATCTCAACTTTCAATAACAACGTTATCTGTAAACACTTTTTTCTGCGATAGCTAGAATAGGTATAAAATACGGATGACAGTCACAAATCAGGGGGTGGCTGTCCAGTAAATTCACTTAGATATGTAAGGTATTCTAATATACGTTAGCTATGTTAAGTTATCGGACATCTCTTTACGCTTTTTTACGCTTGGTCTCTTCCTTCAGGTTGATGTGGAGGCATGCTTTATCATGTGTCTCATACATTCTGTATTACCGTTTAGGATTGTTGTTTTTTAATACTGATTGACACTACATTGTTTTGTGACTATTACAGTATGTATAGAGTGTGTACCCTAACTATTGCATTACGTGCAAACACTATATTGTTTAGTGACTGTTGTAGAATGCACATTGTATGAACACCCACTGGGGTGATGTCTAGATTGTATAGAGTGTGTACCCTGGCTAGTACATTGCGTTATGAGCACTATGCTGTTTGTGACTATTATAGAATGTATAGAGCGTGTCAGGTATCTTAAACATTGTATTGCGGTGTGAATACTATGCTCTTTATGACTGTTATAGAATGTAGTTGTATAAACCCACACTGGGATGGTGTGTAAAATATTGAACAATGTATACCTTTGAATATGCATCGTGATTAATGTAGCTTGTGTGGTGTTTATATACTTTATACTGATTACATTGTCTACATGTTCTAATAATTAATTGTAAACCATTTTATTACTGGTTGAATATGTAAAGATGATCCTGAGACTGGTGTGTAATAAACTCCTTGTTTATTTACTCAGGTGTTGTGTTGTGTGTGTGTTGGTATGGTCAGACCTCTTGCCAAGCGAGCTGATTCCCCAACACTCGCATTTTAATAACTGGACTGAAGGCCAGGAGATCTGACGTCGGGCCCGTGCTACTTCATCATCATGGCGCTCAGCGTCTCCATTATCTAAAAGTATTACTTGGTTGTATACTGATGCAAAATCATGTACTAAAGTATATTTGTGGACTAGTTATACATGTTTGAAAATACAATATTTTCGCAATTTTTTGTGCAAACTATGTGCACCGAAAATAATTATTTCACATCATTTAACAAATTTGTCACTTGGTACAATTAACTTTAGGGTTGATTGTTTGATCGGTATTGTAGAAGTTGGTGAGTCAAATGAAGCATACGAATTTATGGATAACGACTTCTTATGTATGGCATAGAGCGACGTTTCGGCGTGGATTCTTACAACGTTATCACGCCAACTGTTATTGAAAGTCACTTTCCTTTGCTCGAGGTAGATTTTCATGAATCACAAGATTTTAGGTGTAAAACAAGCAACTATAATTTCATTAGTCGTTATTCGGGTTTCAAATCAGTATGAACCTGGAACTTTAAAATGCAGGCACAAATTGTATACGATTGTCATGTGAACCCATCGGTGATAAAGCAGGCGTACTTTACAACCTCAACTGCCTTCTATACGACGAACATAGTCGTTGGGGAGGGGTGTTTTGGGGAAGGGGGAGCTAACCAATTACTTTTAAGTCTCTGTATTAATTATGTTCAAGATTAATAATGAAACTACTATAAAAAAAACAGGCAAGATTGACAATACATCAGGATTCCTGTGTCTGAAAGAAATGAGAGTCATAGATAAACACCATAAATCACACTTATCGCTTATTTAAAGGTAGTTAGATGTAGAAAACTTGCCGCCATATAGTGGGTGAGAATATTGGGAATACGGCATTAATAATAAATGTCTTTACTTGTGACACCCTGTACCACAATATTGGTAGATTACACCGTATATTGTGGCAACTGACCTTCACCTTTTCTACACAGTTCGAGTGGGAAAAGAATACGGTACAATTAAAAAGTATTGTGTTTGCAAAGAATTGTTTGTACAACGCACTCCAAACATATTTGGTATACTAGGCGCAGTATTGCATCAGGTGAAGGTAATATACTTGGCGCAGTATTGCATCAGGTGATGGTAATATACTAGGCGCAGTATCGCATCAGGTGAAGGTCATATACTTGGCGCAGTATTGCATCAGGTGAAGGTCATATACTAGGCGCAGTATTGCATCAGGTGAAGGTAATATACTAGGCGCAGTATTGCATCAGGTGAAGGTAATATACTTGGCGCAGTATTGCATCAGGTGAAGGTCATATACTAGGCGCAGTACTGCATCAGGTGAAGGTAATATACTTGGCGCAGTACTGCATCAGGTGAAGGTAATATACTTGGCGCAGTATTGCATCAGGTGAAGGTAAAATACTTGGCGCAGTATTGCATCAGGTGAAGGTCATATACTAGGCGCAGTACTGCATCAGGTGAAGGTAATATACTTGGCGCAGTATCGCATCAGGTGAAGGTCATATACTAGGCGCAGTATCGCATCAGGTGAAGGTAATATACTTGGTAGAAAAAGTACGAAAGCCTAATGCTGCCACTTTTGTAACATAAAATAGTCATCGAAATTTCTCGTTGGTACGATAATTTGGTCGGTGCTTGGCAGTACATGTATTTTCTCGTTATTTCAAGTATTTTCTCGCTGATTCGAATATTTTCCCCTTACTTCGATTACTTTCTCGTTGCTCCGAGTATTTCTCGTTACTTCAATTTTCAGTCAAAAACTTGAAATTTCGATTGATTTCTCGTCATTTCGAGTATTTTCTCGTTGTTTCAACTATTATCTCGTTTATTCCTTCAAAAACTTGACATTTCAAATATTTTCTCGTTACTTCAATTATATTTTCGTTGCTCCGATTAATTTCTCGTTGCTTCAATTTTCTATCTCGTTGCTTTCACTACCGAAAACATTTTTGGAGCAAAGAGAAAATATCCGAAATTTTAAGTGAAAGAAACTTGAAGTAACGAGAATATACCGTCTCTAATCAACAAAAAATTAGTTGAAGCAACGAGAAATTATATTGTCAAAACATTATTTAAAAAGAGAAAATACTCGAATTAACGAGAAAATAATCGTAGGAGAGGAGGGGGGAAGGGGGGGTGGGAATATTCGAAATTCCAAGTCATAATTTTTTTTAGAAACTTGAAGTAACGAGAATATACTCAAAACAACTAGAAAATAATTGAAATATCGAGAAAATACTCCCATGGACCGACAAAATAATCGAAGCAATGAGTTTGCTGAAAAAAATGTTTATGCTACAAAAGTGGCAGTATAAGGCTTTCGTAGAAAAAAACATTGGTCCCACTGGGGATTGCCAGGATTGCCACCAGCGTAGCGACCACCTTAACTAGCTGTTGCAGCATAACTAGCTGTTGCTGCAACAGCCACCCTGACGGGACAGTCAGGCCCAGCACCGACCTCCGTGTCCAGTTGGTGGGGACCTAATAGAGAGCCAAGATACTTTGGGGCTAGTATTAGACAGAAATTCATCATCCTATTGGTCTTCTGGAATATTAGTGCACCGAAAGCATTGCCCTGATAATGTTAATGAGGATGATGACGATGATTTGGAGATTTTACGTGCGCTTTCCGGCATGATGCGTATTTCGCACACGGCGAAGTCAGTGTGCTTTGGGGCTCTTCTCATACATTATTGCTCAAGACGTAAGGAGCAAGCATTTGCTTTTTTGGCGCAGGTGGTCCAAAATATATAAAACATATAATCAAGCCTGGTTTTTACTGTATTTGGAGTATGTATATGCATCAACTAGTCAACTATGTGTGATCCTTTTGTTCCAAACTGTTTTGAAACATGAAGTGATTATATTCGCAACAACGTTTATCATACTGTGGCCTGATGTTCCTCTGCAGCAGTCTATATCATGTTAGTGTGTCAAAACATGGCGAGCTGGCATTATAAGAACATAGCGGCTGTTTATGACGGAGGAAACATAAAACAGCTCATAAATAGTTTTAAAGGTTCATCTCAAACTTGGATATGAAAGGGAGTACGTGGTTTGTATAGCACGTTCGCTCACGACGAAGGATGCTGGTGGAGTAGACTAAATAGCTGAAACCATATCAGTGACAAGTCTTTTTGCAAAGAAAGTTTCACGATTTATCTTGTGTCGAGGAAAAATAATAACAGATTACCTTGAGATTAACTACTGGTTTGTGAACGAATATTCTATGTCAAATGTAATGCATCCCCATCGGCGGCCGGCGCACACTGCACGTCTTCGGACGGATGAGCGACTTCTATTAGATGCCGCTTGTGACAATGCGTCAGTTGTATCATCTAACTTGACTGATGTATTTGTGTTTGAAACTAGTGAATAATGTTTTTCATTCGGTCCACAATCTATAATTTATATACTGAACATCATTGAAAAACGCACCACTTATAAAAGTTCAGATTATTAAAAGCACGTGTAAGGAATTGATATTTTTTGAGAGGATAATAACAGATGGACGACTGACAAAATCAACAACACAGAAAAGACGCTCATTCATTGAAATGTTCCACAGTCAGAAAGGATCAAACACACGTGGGGTCAAATCGAAAAGTCAATATCACGTGTGACTGCCATTTGCATTGACACATGCAGTTCAACGTCTCCTCATTGAGTCAATAAGCGTCCGAATAGAGTTCTTGAGGATGGCATTCCACTTCTGCAGTAGTGCAGCCTCAAGTTCCCGGATGTTTCGCATCTGTTGTCGCCGCGAAAGACTTTGACCAATTTCGTCCCACAAGTGCTCCATGGGGGATACATCTGGCGACTGTGCTGGCCAATGAATAACCTAGATGTGGTGCTGGGCCAGATACTGCATGGAAAGTCTTGTTGTGTGTGCCCGTGCGTTGTCCTGTTGAAAAGTATGGACATCTTGGTGGTGATTGAAGACAGATACGATGTGATTCTGAAGAATCTGCTCACGGTAATAAAGGGCATTAACTCTCCCTTGACAGACATAAAGGCAGTCCTGTGATTGTAATTTATTCCACCCCAGACCACGACACTCCCACCACCCAAAGGTCTGTCTGAATCACACACTCATCAGCATAACGTTCACCACGTCTACGCCAAACACGTAATCGACCGTCAGCATTACGTAGATGAAGACGTGACTCGTCAGTGACTACCACACCATGCCATTGTTGTAACCTTTACTGAAAATGCCTGCTAGCCCATTGTATACGCTCATTACGGTGTCTGTCAGTCAGAATTGGTCCAACGTAAGGACGTCGAGCATGGAGCCCTGTAGCGTCGTAGACGGCGTCGCATGGAGTCAGCGCTGAAGACCCCCACGTCAACCTTGAACTAGTACAGCAGTCCTGGCAGTCGGCAGTGTTCAATCACTGATTTGGACAAGGTCAATATGGCGATCCTGATGGAGCGTCGTAACACGTTGTTGCCAAGGTCATTGAAGGTCACGGGTGCTGCCTGTCTACTGATGTCGTCTATGAAGCCTAACGGTGGTGGAGTGGCCAGGTCCAAGTTGTCAAGCAATATCCCTGCTGCTGGTGCCAACCTGAATCATGCCTATTGCACGTTCTCTTTCGTGAGGTGTTAACCTCGGCATCTCTCTCCTCGTTTCACAATCGTTAGTGAAGCAATGAGAATCGGGTCTCATACACCCGCTTTTAATGTCACAGTCAGTATGATTTCAGAATGAAATTCGCGCTTTTTTCATGGCGTGGTTGCATGTTGGTGCATTTTGGAATTAAGAGTCATACTGTGGACATTAATTTGTTTCTAAAGCTTTTTTTTCAACTGGAAATGCCCTTGGACTTCGTGTTAGTTATATTCATTGACCATTGTCCTGCTGAAATCCATCTTGATGAAAATATGGACAATTTTAGACTGGTGCGTTTT